ATAACAATGTAATATTTCTTCAAAGTTACTTAAATATATATGTGTGCACCCATGCTCGAGGACTTCTATGGTACGATAATTATTGGGTGCAGCTCTACAAGTGAAATTACAATGGTCTTGTTTTCGACATGAAGTATAGATATATATGTCAGATCAGTAAAATTTCAATAAGAATGTAATTTTGAACCTATATTTCAGAAGTATAGTGGGTTTAAAGCAAAAAACTAAAATTAAACCATCAAATATAAATTCTAGATCCACCTCTTTACAATAGTACATTCATCCTCTTTAAATCCTAGATCCGCCTTTGCAAATGACTTGTATCTAATAATTCTGTCACGACCCTAATTTTTCTCCGTAGGATGTTGTGATGGCACCTAGTCTTAGGGACTAGGTAACCCTAATACTTACTGAATTAGTAGCAAACATAACCAACAACTATTATATATGAAACGGAATTTTTTTCTATACAAGCCAACAATCCCAAAATCGGTAGTACAAGTTATAAGCTCTACTGAGTTTACTCTGACAAATCTTCTATGTACAACTATTCCAAAATAGAAATAGACAGTACAAGTACAATATCAGAAGGTAACTCTGAGGCCCGCGAACACGACGACAGGTTTACCTTGAGTCTCCACAGGAAAACCCGAACAACTAGCTAGTGGTCAACCAACTCCAAAATACCTGAATCTGCACAAAAATGTGCAGAAAGCGTAGCATGAGTACACCACAACGGTACCGAGTAAGTATCAAGACTAACCTCGGTCGATTAGTGATGAGGAACAGTCAAGACACCTACTAGACATAATAACTTGTACAAGTATAAATGTGAAACTAACAGGGGACGATATCAATATAAAGCTAAGCATGATAACAATAACAAAACATTTCGTGTAATAGGAAACTAAGAGCAACAATTAGCAACAGGGAACAAATAGGTAATAACGCCATGAAGTGAGATGAACACAATTTAAGTCCAGTGAAACCAAGTAAGAAAACAAGTAACAACTCAATAAGAGCAACCACTTCCACACAAGATTTGTTCAAGGATTTTCCCGAGGTGCTTCACCTTGTAGTCATATTTCACGGGTCCCAATTCATGAACCCTAATCTCTTGGCATCTTGTGCCCACATTACAACTCGCAACCGCACGGACGGCTCACTTGCCAAGGGAGTGACAATATCTCATATCCACACGAACAACTCATGTGCCAAAAGGATAACTCTTCCACATAAGGCAAGTAAACGAGAGTACATGTAAATGGTCCATAATACCGGGATTCATCTTGTTAAACCGATATGGGTGATTAATTATGTGTATGCTTGTGCAAGTGTTCTATCCCAACTCAAATTAAAAGTAAGAATGGAGACAACGAAGGGCTCATAGGAAACAACACCACAAAACGAAAAATGTATAACTCACACAAGGTAGGCTCACCACACCACAAATATCATCAATAACAATGCCCCCAGGCCATCACAAGTCATCACAAATCATTTCCGGACATAGCCCGCCTTGTCTCGCCACGTGCGCAATAAAGTAAATACCCGCCTTGTCTCGCCGCACGCGCATAATAATATTCTCACCTTGTCTCGCCACATGCGCAAACCCACATATATAGCCCGCCTTGTCACGCCACATGTGCAAATTTCAATAATAACAATAGCACGGACAACTCACGTGCGAACACTCCGACAATCCTCTAAATAATATCACGTGTTCCAAAAACATAACAACACAATATAAGGTCTTTCACCACATGAGCCCATATGCCACAACTTTTCCTCAAAACAATTTCAATATCACAAGTATGCATAGCCCCCAGCTCAACAACACCGAGTACATCAACAACAACAACAATAACACGAGAGTACGGCAAGTAACTCAACATAAAACTACAGAACACAAAGAAACGGACAAACGAGCTCACAACGGAAGACACCATAGGTAATAATGGTTTCAACAAGAATAGCTCAACAAGGGGAGAGATAATGTGTAACAATGATTCCACTTAAGTACAACTCGACAAGAAGAGAGATAGCATAAATCAAAGGTTCCAAATAAGGATAAGTCAACAATGAAAGGGATAACAAGACTTTAATTAAGGTTAAGCAATTACAGAAGAGATAATAACAACTTCAATTAAGGTTAAGCATTTACGGAAAAGACATCAATAACTTCAATTAAGGTTAAGCATTTACGAAGAAGACATCAATAACTTCAATTAAGGATAAGCAACCGCGGAAAAGACATTGATAACTTCAATTAAGGATAAGCAATTACGGAAAAGACAACATGACAATAAAAGAGGCGACAACTTCAATTAAGACACATAAGAGTTTATTGGCAACAAGGTTAGAACATGAATCTACCAACTCCAAATAAGACACGTAAGGGTAAATTTAGTAAATGGAAGATTTAACCTAATAAGACAATAATTAATGGACATAAGAACCTAAGAACTTAAAACGGTCAAATTCCCACAAATAAGCCCGAGCACGTACTCTTCACCTCGCGTACACGGCCTTCACATGACACAATTAGCACAAATTACTCAATTCCTAAGGGATAGTTCACCCATAAAAAATTAGGCAAGATACTTAACTCACAGAAGCTAGATTGATACTCTAAAATGACCTTCTCGTGTGAAACAACCTCCGGACGGTTCAAATCTGTCCAAAATAACTTAACATCATAAATAAAAATCATAGAAAATAATTTCGGATAGTAAAGCTTTGATCTTGAAAGAGAAAAAAAAGTCAACCCCGGGCCCGCTCCTCGGAACCTAACCAAAATTATAAAATCCGAACACACATTTGATAACGAGTCCAACCATACAAAAATTACTCAAATCCGACCTCAAATTGCCTTTCGAATCTCCAAAGTTTAGTCTAAGAAGTTTTCACAATTTTTCTCCAAATTTCCAACTTAAATCACTAATTAAATGATGAAAATAATAACGGATTCATGAAATATAATAAGATTCGGTTAAAGAACACTTACCCTAATGAATTTATTGAAAACCCCACGAAAAATCGCCCAAAGCCGAGGTCTACAACTCTAAAAATAAATAGATCCTCAAACCCTCCACACTTAAACATTTTGCCAAGCCATTTTCGCATTTGCGGACAAAAGTGCGCATCTGCGCTCTTGCTTTTGCGAGCCATACACTCGCACCTGCAGTCTTCACTTAGTAGCCCAGACTTCGCACCTGCGAGCCTCCCATCGCATCTGTGATGCCAGAGAAGCGGACGACCTATTGGAGCCTCAAACTCGCATTTGCGGTCACTCTTTCGCTGACGTGATCTCGCACCTGCGGTCCCCCATCCGCAGAAGCGAATCAACAGGACATGCACCAACATCACAGAAGTGACCAAACTCACGCAGAAGAGGCTCCGCACCTGCGCTCCAAAAGCAGGTGCAACACACCAGAAGCAGACTTGCCAAAAACATGGAAACGAATCCGAAACTCGTCCGAAACACACCCGGGGCTCCCGGAATCCCGTCGAAATATACCAACAAGTTCCATAACATAACCCGGACCTACTCGAGGCCTCAAATCACATCAAACAACGTCGAAACTACAAATCGCACCTCGAATCAAACTTATGAATTTTAAAATCTTCAAACTTCCAAAACTCGTGCCGAAGCATATAAAATTAATCCGGAATAACCTCAAATTTTGCATGCAAGTCCCAAATGACATCACGGATCTAAACCAACTCCCGGAATCGAAATCCGAATCCGAATTCAACAAAGTCAACTCCCGATCAAACCTCTCAACCTTCCAAACCTTCAACTTTCCAATTTTCGCCAAAATGCATCAAATCAACCTACGGATCTCCAAATCCAAATCTGGACAAACGCCTACGTCCAAAATCGCCATACGAAGATATTGGAATCATCAAAACACCATTCCTAGTTGTCTACACAAAACTCAAATTTCGGTCAACTCTTACCGCTTAGGCTTCTAGAACAAGAATCCTTCTTCCAAATTGATCCCGAATCATCCAAAAACCGAACCAGACCACACACGCAAGTCATAACACATAATACGAAGCTGCTTGAGACCTTACACCGCAGAACGGGACGCTAATTCTCAAAATGACCGATCGGATCGTTACAGATTCGGAGTCATTGGATGGGAATAAACTTTTACCATGAAATGAGGCATCAGATGGGAATAAACTTTTACCATGAAATGAGTCATCAGATGGGAATAAACTTTTACCATTATTTCATTGGATTCCTGATTGCGAATGATAAAATTAAACATGATTCCTTCATTAAAAATAATTTCGCTGCCTATATCTATAGGGTTATATAGTTTTATCCTCATTCACATGCGTGACCATCTAGCAAAACACCAAGTCGACATGCATTTCGATTATTATTAAATATTCCAACACGGATAGTTGGTGTTGGGCCATGAGATTAATATTTGTTTTCATTTTTCTGTCTTTTAATTTGCTAAATGTGATTTCATGATAACTTCATTTAATTTGAGACTTAAGTTTAAGAAAAGTAAAACTGTAAAAAAAAAAAAAAAAAAAAAGGGCGGAAAATAAATTATAGAAGACACAGTAGAAATTCAAATGTCATACTCGAAACAGAAATTCTTATTCTTTCTTTTTTCGGATACTTTATAGTGCAATTTGAGAAGGTTAAGCAAACAGCATTAATCAGTAAACGTATAAAATTTGATGTCGTGACTCGTGACACTATGATTTAAATTACAATCTCATCACGACTAAACCATCTCTTAGGACAAGAAAAATTACACTTTTAATAGAAAAACTCTTGCCATTGCAAAACATACATTTTAAGCCGACATAATAGACAATGAAATTCCATGAACTTTACATGTGTTGAATTAAAAGGAACATGTATCACACATAGAAAATGACCTTTCCTCAATTTAATTTTCTGAACAAATTAGATTCAGTCCACCCCTACGAAACCCAAACTTTCAATTTATCACTCTATAAATATGAAGCTTCTCTAGCCCCAAACCAAAAAACTCAATGCAATATTTCTTTCCAAGCCAATGGCCCCTAGTTGCAACCATAACCAAAACCATAGCCAAAATGGTCAATTTTTGCCACAAGAAGTAGTAGTTGTGGTGGTTCCTTTTCCAGCACAAGGTCACTTGAATCAACTTCTTCATCTCTCTCGTCTCATTTCAGCTTATAATATACCAATCCATTATATTACCACTAAAATTCATAGTCATCAAGTCAATTTAAGAGCTCATGGTTTTAACCCTTTATCAACAAACAATATTCATTTCCATGAATTTTCAACCCCAGTTTTTAACTCTCCCTCTCCTAATAACTCCAATTCCTCAGTCAAATTCCCTTCAAATCTTACACCTTCTTCCCAAATTTCCTCTCATCTTCGCAATCCTGTTGCCAAGATATTACACTCTCTATCACATAAAAATCGAAGAATTATTATTATTCATGATTCATTAATGGGGTCTGTGGTTCAAGATTTTCGGACCATTCCAAATGCAGAAGCTTACACTTTCCATAGTGTTTCAGCCTTCACTTTGTTTTTGTACGTATGGGAAAGTATAGGAAGGCCTTTTGCTATTGATACTGATATGATAAAAGAACTTCCTTCAAATGAAGGTTGTTTTAGTCCTGAGTTTGAGGAGTTTATGAAATCTGAACATGAGTATAGTATGTTTAATTCTGGTAAGATTTATAACACATCACAAGCTATAGAGCATACTTTTCTTGATTTGCTGTCTAAGGAACAAATTAGTAAAGGCCAAAAGCAGTGGGCTCTTGGCCCATTTAATCCAGTTGTTATCCAAGGGACCCACCAACAACGACACAAGTCATTGGTTTGGTTAGACAAACAAGTACCAAAGTCAGTGATTTTTGTGTCATTTGGAACCACTTCTTCATTTTCTGATGAACAAATCAAGGAAATAGCAATTGGCTTAGAGAAAAGTCAGCAAAAGTTCATTTGGGTATTGAGAGATGCTGATAAAGAGAATATTTTCTCTAAAGATTTTATTAAAAAAATTGAATTGCCAAAAGGGTTTGAAGAGAGAGTGAAAGAAAAAGGAATAATTGTAAGAGATTGGGCACCGCAGTTAGAAATATTAGCACATTCTTCGACGGGCGGTTTTTTATGTCATTGTGGATGGAATTCGTGCGTAGAAAGTATTTCTACGGGAGTTCCAATAGTAGCATGGCCGATGCATTCGGATCAACCGAGGAACACAGTGTTGATAACGAAAATACTAAAAGTTGGGATTGTTGTAAAGGATTGGGCTCGAAGAGATGATTTAGTTGTGTCCACTGAGATTGAAAAGGCAGTGAGAATTTTGATGGCATCGGAAGAAGGAGAAGAGATGAGGAAGAGAGCAGAAGAGTTGGGTTTTGGTGTCAAGAAGGCTGTGGGTGAAGGTGGTGTCACTCGCAAAGAGTTTGATTCTTTCATCACTCATATTACCAGATGAATTTGATCATAATATTTCGTAACAGTAAGAGTTGTCGTCATGTTACTAAGGGATCATGAGTTCAAGTTAAAAGATAACCTCGTGTGAAAATATAAAGTAAGACTGCACACAGTATATCAAATGTGATATACCCGACCTTCTCTAATATAATTCTCGCGGATAATAAGAGCATAGTGTGCAAGCTACTCTTTTGTTTGATACTATGGAGCAATGTGTTTTTTAAATTGTCATCTTGAGCAATTTATGCATTGACGTATGAAAAGTTTGTAAAACATATACAAGGGGTAATCTATCACTTGATCATTTAAGCATGGGTACGTAGACAATCCCACTATCACTAGGAATACAAGGTTAATTAGTTATTTACCTATATAGAATATGAAACTCCATTAGTACAAATGGGTGAAAATCATTTTCCTATATATGCTAACTTAAGTCGCAAATTTTTAAGCGAAGAGACCAAAGCTTATAAAAATACTAGTTAGAGATAGCCCGTGCTGAGCACGGGCCCAATAACACTATAATGCAGTAGATTTTCACAAAAAATTTGAGGTCATTCAAATAGTCGTCTATTCAATTGCTTAAACTAAAAATAGCCGGTGAATGTATAATATGTATAATTTATGTATTACATGTGTATAATTATATATATTTAACGTATAATCTATGTATATAGATTAAAAAAATAAACAGTAAATATGGCCGGCTATTTGTATAAAGATCCCTATATTTTAAATTTGAGCTGTTGTTCCAAAATATTAAAAATTTTGGGTCTACATTTGTTATTCCTACTATCATAAGCATGTGTTGTGATCTACATCTTGCGGCGATACTATTATAAATTTTCTTTGGGAACTATAGACTGTGATCTACATTTTCTAATACTATTGTAAATTTTCTTTGGCAATTATTTGTCGTGGTCTACATTTTATGATACTGCTATAAAAATTTTCAGGAACCATTTTTTGTAGAATAATTAAATAATTTTGATATTGATCTCTTGGTCTGTTTAACTTAACTACCAAATAGAGAAATATTAATTTCGAACAAAAATAGTGGTGTATGCACAAAAATGAAAGCGTGGGATTTTAAAATATAATTTGTTGGAATGCATACATTTTTGTTTGAGAAATTACATTAATCAAAGAAAAAAAAATATTGAAAAAAATTTCGATTGTGCACACAATTGATGCCGTTAGTACTCGACAAAATGACAGAGTTAACTTACTTTATTACTTTTAATTATCTTAAATTTGGTGAGGTCAATAGAATATTGGTCAAACTAAGGTACATAATTTCTGGTAGATAGTTTTAATATTTTCACTTTTTCTTTTATTATTCCTTAAATATGTGCCAAAAGAAGAAGTTGAAACTTGCAAATTGTCTCTATTTTAAATAGCTTTTGAGTATTATTTATCTGACTCTTTCTTTTATTCATTAGGGACTGGAGGAAAATTAAAAGAGAAAGTAAGAGTTCTTATACATGCATTTTTGGCCAAGTAACAGTTCTTATACAAGCATCTTTTGCCCCTAGGCGTTGTTCTTTTCTAGTTACATTGTGAAGTAATTTTGATATAAATTTATGGCAAGTTAAAATTATCTGAATGTTAAGTTGCAAGTTAGTGTTTATTTATTTTAAAAATCGTGCAGGTATTACTTCTAACCCTATTTTTTATATAAATAATAATGTTATCACTTGCCTTTAAGTTCATACAGTAATTTTAGTATATTAAAAATTTGGATTTAACTTGTTGACTTTCGCAACTTTTCATTGTTTTAAGTGCAGTGCCTTTAGAACGTTGAGCCAAAAAAGTTAATTCATCTATAATTGTATTTTTCTTTTAAACTTGATTTTGTATCTTAAGTTTTTCAATTTATTTATCACTTACAAGGTACTGAAGCAACTGCAATATTCTTGAGCATTATAGTACTACCATTTCGTAATGTAGTTGGCACATCCATAACAAGGTTATAATTTTATTTCATAAGTTGTGGATTTACTCTCCATAAAATAATTTATATTTTATGTAATTAAAATAAAGACAATTCAAAAAGCTAATCACATAGAAATGCCAAACCAATAAAAGGTTTTCAAAATTTTATGTAAGATCTCAACATAAAATTTCAAGGTAAGTATTTGTATGTAGTCTCTAAACTTTTAAACATGGTGGATTAATTTACATATACTGAACTTAAACTAAATCAAGCAGTCCCTCAAGTTAAATAATTACGGTATGGATAAAATTACACTCAATAGTCATTAAAGTAGCTTTAGCCACGTGGATATCACATAGACACTAAAGTACAAATTAATACTACATGTGATGAGAATCTTAATGAATCCCACATTATTAAATGTTGTGCCTGACAGTGAAACATTATAAAATAATAAAAATGCCTTTGTGACGAAGCGAACATGTTGACCATCAGGTCCCTTCTTATCCTCACTTACTACTTACTTATATATTAGTAGTAGATACTAAATTATCATTCAAACTATCATTTGATTCTATCTACACAAATAGAGTATTAGATAACTAGACAAAGATACGTTTTCTGATGCAATACGCAGAATTGCATGTGGCGAGATCCGAAACTCACGGATCATTTGTCAGTGGCTTAATTGTTGTAATATATAACTTAAATTATAGTACATCTTCTATTTTATTTTACGTGACATCATTTTCATATTAGCCTATTATATTCCAAAGACAATAATATATTTTTATATTTTATGTAACTTTAAACTTTTATTGCAAATAACATATTTTTAAGTCATACAATCACGATAGGTTTAAAACTACAAGTTCTGTTAACTAGTGAGCTTCGAGCTACACAGATCTAATAACATACAGATCTTACAATCACCATAGCCATCTAGGGCATAGACCTGAGAGAGGAAGAGAGGAAGAAGAGAGAAGAGAGAAGCGTGTATTAGGAAAATGAATTAGTGTTAGTTACATTTTGCACTAACAGTACTTATAACCAACTCTAACAAACTGAACTAATGTGACCCCTCTAACTTTCCTATATAGCTAAACAGACCCCTAACTCCTTGAGGCTATATTTCTCGTTTCAATAAGTTCCAAAATTATACTACTCATGTTAAGAAAAATTATGCTATCAAATATCCAATTTAAACTGTTACACCCCATGATTTCTTACGTAAGAGTACGTTGTAAGTCAATTGATGTAAGTTCAGAAATGAAGTCATCTTTGAAAAGTTCACAAATTTAGTTAATCATGTTAACGTGGAGGTTACAAATATTTAAGATCATGAATACCAAGTACCAAGAAGGTTTGAAGGCTTAGAAGCTAAACGAATTGAAAAAATAAGTTTCGTCGAAAGTCGACAAGTTGTGAATGTTATAACATGTACTTTTTGGGTGAGATTAGGGTGCTTAACATTATAAGGAGATTATTTTATTAGTTATTTTAGTCGTATGATAGTCGTGTGTTATGTTTTGAAGTCAAGCGAGTTGTGGAACAAAACTTGGAAAAGGTCATCACAAATTACATTCATAAATGTGCTGAAACTTAGGTCAAATGTAGCTGAGCTTTTCTCCCAATATACTTGGAACTACGGGATGATCCACCTACCAATTTGAAGAACTACGAGTCTAGTTTCTAACACATTAAACCTTTTGTCAATACGACATTGGAGTAGAGAGATATTCGCGTTTCGCGTGATCGCGCAAGGAGCTCCCAATGGGACCCACTTAGGCAGTGGATGACCCTTGAACAATTTAAAGGGCTTGGACGGCTTATTTTTGGTCATTTTCGACCAAGGACAGTTTCCAAACTTTCTCAACACCTCTCTAACAGTTCTCAAGGGTTCCAAGTTGAATCCAAGGGTGTTTTACCTAAATCAAAGCTCAAAAGTTAGCCTGAGTGAAGAAGAGAGTCTCCATGGTGTTGTGATGTGATTAAGGGTGCTTGTATGCCAGAGAAAGCTTTGGTTCGAGTTTTTCAGATTATTTAAGGTATGTATAACACCCTATTTCTTGGGACTAATCTTATCTATGTGTTTGTTAAGTTATTTGGATGAAGAACTACAAGATAGAACTTGAAGTTGTATAAGAAATTGTTGTCTGTTATTGGACTATTTTGGAGTTGTATATATGACTTCATATTGCTGTAAATCGTGGGAATACCTTGGTTATAATGTTCTTATTGTTTTTATGCTTTTCAATATGTTGAGTATGTTGATGATGTTGTAAATAGGAGAAGAAGCAACCACGCAATACCTAGAAGTTGTTCATGTCGTTTTATCTTGTGGGGTTGTTTGATGGATATAAGGTTGGAATGTCATATCAATATATATGTTTATGTGTTGGACCTATTGATGGTGTTGTAAGTACAGGGGAGATGTGAAAAAGAGTTGGGGTTTGGTCCAATCCAAGCTTTTCGCTCGTCATGTTAAATAGCAGTTTTGTGTGTGACATTTGTACACTTGTTGTTGTGTAGATTGATTGGTGTTGTTGGGCTGTTGGTATATGGTATTAGATAAGGCCCTTTTTACAGGCGATATGCTACCCAAATTTACATAAACGACCTACTAGCTTAAGTTACGGACTTAGCCTTTACTCAGTAGCGATCTTGAATCTCCTTATGCTATGATAGACTGAGTTGAGTTGTTTTAAGAGTTTCTTGGAAGCTATTAAGGACTCAACAAGGTTAAAGTATTTTAAGGCTAAACCTTTCCTTCATTTTGGCATGATCAGTAACTAGATGTGTTTGATAACGAGACATAAAGAGAAGTTCATATTCCTGAATTTATGTACATTTTCCTAGTCTCATTCGGGACATCATATTCAGTTTAGTTTTTTCTTCTTTCAGCCAAGAGAGCAGAGATTGTGTGTGTGTATATATATATATATATATATNAAGTCTGTACATATATATATATATATACAGTATTACAGTATTTTTACCACCATCGAGCTATAATCGATGGGCAGGTCCCTATTGGGCAGCCTCTGATCAGATGGTAAGTTATATACCCAGCTTACTGTGGCCGAGCGCCTATGAGCGAGCCCAGAATGGCCGAGATACAGAGCCTAGTATGGCCTAGCGCCTATGAACGAGCCTATTACGGCAGAGAAGTTACACATACCGAGCCTTATAGGGGCGGATAGCTGTTTTACTTACTATATTGAGAGAGATGAGTCAGTATCAGCAGGTAAGCATATTTTCAAATTATATTTGACTCCCAGGTACTTTCAGTTATTATATCAGTTCAGTTTCAGCTTTCAGTTATTCTGCTGCCTTACATACTCGGTACATTATTTCGTACTGACATCCCTTT